CACAGCCTCCGCGTTTCCCAATCTGCGGAACCGATCCGAGAAATGAGCTGGTCCTCGCAGCGCCCGAAGCCCGAAGGAGCAGCCCACCCGCCACCAGAGGCAGGCGAGGTGGCCGAGCGGAGGGGCCGTGCAGGGGCAGCCGGGAGCTCTGTGAGCCAGCGATTGGCCAGGCTTAACCAGTAGAAAAAAAGCATTCCCCTGTCATCTATGGTTGTTAGGCAGACAACCAGGCGCAACCAGGGAGAGAGGCTGAAAAGGAAAGTTCCATGGGGAAAATCCCCTTGCAGGGATTCCGCGTCTTGGGGGAGGGGCGGAACTGCGGGGCTCAAAAGAGCAGGGGGGGTGATCTGGGCCAGGGGGAGAGGGAGGGGTGCAGGCAGGGGGTCGCTTCCCTTTGGACCCCGCAGAGCCCTCACAGGCGGGGAAGAGGCGAAGGTCGGAAACCCCGAGTGAACTTGGTTCTACTCAAAACGCCCAACGGCTCTCGTGGTCTCTGAAAGGCGCAGACATGTCTCTCCTCTGGGAAAAGGCCGGGGGTGCAAAGAACCCCAATAATCCCCCATTTCTTCTCATTCTCCAGCGGAGACATGAAGCTTCACAAACCTTCAGCGTTCCTCGGGTTTCCCGCAACAAACTAAGCTGGCTGCTCCCTCCTTTGGCGGTTCTTCTGGGGAATGTTGGACTCAAATAATAAATCCCTCTTCTGGTTATGATAGTTGTTATGATGATAGCCAAATTTAGTTGATAATGAATTGCTGCTGCTGCTGCTTTTACACTTCCTATGATGAGCAAAGTGTGAGTAGATGCAAGGGTCTTTTCAGGTCTAGAACCATGTCCTGCTCTCTTCTGTGGTTAGCCTTCCACCGAGCATGTACAGAGTAGAAATTAGGCCATGCCTGTGGGGAAGAGGAATGAGATTCTGCCTCCCTCTTACAGTTCTGTATTTAGACAGCTGAAGCAAGGTCCTTAGAGGAACCTTCCAATTTCTGGGTGAGTCTCTGGAAACTGCCTTTCTGCTGACTTAGCTGGTCCTTCAGATACTCTCTTTCCTCTCTGGGTTCACAACAGGTTTACCTTGTTTGTTTTCAGACACTGGTTAGTTTATGGTGCAGCATCCTGTGCAAACAGGGATTCACACACAAAACACTTGAGTTGCAGAGGGGAAAATTCACCAAGGTTGCCATTAACCTGGTGTGAGAAGTTGTGCAAAGGCACCTCCCAGCTGTATCACTGGCCCGGTTAAATCTGCTGTGTGAATCCGGCCTCCGTGGGCCTGGAGAATCCCTGGGAAACGAAATGCCGGCTGTTTCCCAAACCAGGATGTTGGAAGGGAGCCAAACATGAGACAGGCCAAAGCCTCTCAGGGCCCCCTTTGGATGTGGAAATCGGAGGGGAGAGAAGCTGCTGCCGTGCCCTGCCCAAGCCTTGGGGGACTCTTTCTCCAGGCATAGCCCCCCACATGAAGCTGCCTCATCTGGGCAGCCCCTTGGCCCATCCAGGCCCCCCTGGCCCCTCCAGGCTCCTTCCCAAGGATGCCCAGAGTTTCCAGCTAGAGCCTGAAATAAATTTCACCAGCCTCTCTCTCCAGCGGCTGATGACTTCAACTCCCATTATCCAAGGCAAGGGCCATGCTGGTTAGGGATGATGGGATATCCAGTCCCACCCATTCGGAGGGCACCCGTGTGGGGAGGGCTGGTCTATCTGGAGAGGCTGGGCTTTGAGGCGGTCCTCCCATCCTGAGGTTGGGGATCCTCTGTGTTGGGGAGACAGTTAGCCTCCCTTCCGTGCGGGACCAGTTTCCAATGAGGAAGGGAGCCCCAGCTGCAAAATGGGCCCTGAGCAGAAAGACATTGTTGGCTGTTCCTTGCACGCACGCGTGGACACAGAAACACACGCACATGCACACAGCCCAAGTTTGGCATCTGCTGAACATGTTCATGTCCTTAAAAGTTACAATATGTTTATTAAGGCATCTCCTCTGACACTGTGGTTTCTGGTAAGAACCAGGTCTATCTTTCTGCAAACCAAGAGGCCTTGGTTGAATTTCATCTCTTCAGGTTGTTGTTTAGTCGTTAAGTCGTGTCCGACTCTCCGTGACCCCATGAACCATACTGTGCCAGGCCTTCCGGTCCTTCACTGCCTCCCTGAGTTTGCTCAGTTTCATGTTCATTGCTTCAGTGATGCTATCTAACCATCTCATCCTCTGCCGTCCTCTTCTCCTTTTGCCTTCAATCTTTCCCAGCATCAGGGTCTTCTCCAAAGAGATCTCTCTTCGCATTAGGTGACCAAAGTATCTGAGCTTGAGCTTCATTATCGATCCTTCCAATGAGCAATCAGGGTTGATTTCCTTTAAGATTGACTGGTTTGACCTCCTAGCAGTCCAGGGGACTCTCAAGAGTCTTCTCCAGCACCATGGTTCAAAGGCATCAATTCTTCGGCGCTCGGCCTTTTTTATGGTCCAGCTCTCACAGCCGTACATTACTACTGGAATCTCTTCAGGGCAGGGGTCCAAATATTCTCCTTCCGTTCCTCTCACAACAACCCTCTAAGGTAGGCCAGCTGGGTGACAGCGGCTAAAGCCTTCCCATGGACAAAAGAGCCAAGAAAGAGTTTGCCTGGAAGTTCCTCAAAGGCACCCCCCCAATTCACAATCTGCACAACTGTTGTGTGTCAGGGAGCTCCAGAGGGCAGATCCCCCATCCTACGCCAGAGAGTTTCCCATCGGCCGTGGCTCTGACTGCATCTCCTTCCCCCTCTCTGCCGCCCCATGAAAGAACCTCAGAGTCAGGCTGGGAAGCCCCAGAGGCGTCACACAGCTCTCCCCTTTTATCTGTCATCTTTCAGAGATAACTGAGTCTATTTGTTTCCTATTTCATTCTGATCAACAACAAATAAAAGAGAACAAAAGAACTTTAAATTTCTCTTGCACAAAACTCATGGCTCTCACTGAATAGCAGCCATGGTGCTTGTGATTTGATACTTGGTAAAGAAACCAAAGGGGTATTTTATTGTGCCTGTGTCAGAACCTCCAGCAATCAGTCTATCAGCTCATTAGTTGC